TTCCCTTCTCCCTCTCTGACTTTTGCAGCACAGGGGATGAACACAGCAGGGGGAACTGGGGTCACTTGGACCAGGTGGCCGCATTGCACTGGGTCCAGGACAACATTGCCAATTTTGGAGGGAGCCCAGATTCTGTGACAATCTTTGGAGAGTCAGCAGGAGGCGAATGTGTCTCTGTACTTGTAAGTTTTCTTGCCACTAGTCTTGTTATGGTTGCTGATGGAACTTCTTGGAGAATAGCCAATTCAGTCATGTGTTCCTCTCTTTATAAGGCTTAGATTCAGTGGAGAGTTTACTCAGGGCTCAGATCAGGTTGTGAAGAACCAAGGCCCACCTCTTCTTGTCTGCAGATGGCTTAGGCTCAGCTTAATTTCCTGGGTCCATAATAATCTCCACCTTCAGACTGCATTATTCTTCTTTCTATTTAATTGAGTTTTCATTGGTCTTCCTAATCATTTTAACACTAAAGCTTACCTTACTTCTCTTGAGAAGTATGGATGATTATAAACTACACATAGCAAGATCAAGGATATGACTTCATCCCCGAGAGCAGGCTAGGGCTTCCTCTAAGGTGTCCTGATACCTTGTGCATGCCCAAGAGGGAGGATAACACTCTGGGAGTGTGGGACAAGATGGACTGGGGAAGGTAAGTGGTCAGGAGGTAAAGAAGTTGAAAGCAGAAGGAGGTAGTGAAAGGATGGTACAGGAGGTTTAGGACAGAGACCCAAGAGATGTCTCACTCATGGGGAATGAGGACTGGGGGACACTGATGGACATTAGATAGTGTGTTGGGAACCAGGAGAAATTGTGCAGGCACTCAGTGTGGAGCACTATGTCAGCCCTATTCCTGTAGTTTTACACAAGTTATTGGTTTTATAGTTGATATCCAAAAGAAGATGTGGCACTTTTTTTTACAGTAGAGAAAAAGAAAAAAATAGTTAAACCCAAAACGAAAACTGTCATCCACGTACTCTCTATGCATGAAGAATCGTTGTGGAACATTAGGCGTGTATTTACATAGCATTTTGCATAGTTCATGTATCTATGTATATATGAATCAAGCACTCTACCAGTGAGCAACAATCCTAGCTCTAACATAATGATTATTTTTCCTAGAAACAATTCTAACTAATGGAATTTCTAAACCAGAATTTGTTGCTGGGAATGAAAACTGTCTTCCCACATTTTGCTTGTTACTGTGGTCACTCACCGCACACTTCCAATATTATCCCTTGTTCTGTGCTCTGGCTCCATCTCTATAAAGTTGCCTTGGGGAAATGGCACCCAGGAGGAGCCTGGGAAACAAAAGGGACATGTGATGAGCTGCCATATATACTCACTGGTATGTGTTAAGGTGAATGTCCAGGGCATAGGTGTGGGTGGAAGGAGCCTTAAAGTACAAGTGAGTCACTGACCTTCACCCTTTGAGAATTAACTTTTCCTCTCTCCACTTCCCTGCCAGCTATTGTCTCCCCTGGCCAAGAACCTCTTCCACAGGGCCATTTCTCAGAGTGGTGTGGTCCTCACTACTGGTCTCTTCAGCAAAAACATCAAGCCTGTGGCTAAGGTAGGTCTCACCCTGAACAGCTATTGTACATTCTCTGCTCTGTTGGAATCCACAGAGATGTTTCTTGCTGTGGATTCAGTTGAGATGCTTACGGGATCACTGAAGTGAGAATGGCTGAGCAGGAAGGACTACCTCAATGCTCATATTTAAATCATATTTCATACTTTATTGACTATCTCCTAGTGAATCATCTTATACAGCCCTCCTGTGATTCTCCATAAGCATTACTGTGTGGGAGACATGGTATACACTTCGGCACTGTTTGGGATAACAGCCCTTTGGGTACACTGATGAAGGGAAGGGACATTGCTTTGGAAGCCCATTGTTACTTGCTATCACTGTAGAAAATTGCTGTTGCTGCTGGCTGTAAAACCACTTCCTCAGCTGTCATGGTTCACTGCCTGCGCCAGAAGACAGAGGAGGAGCTCCTGGAGACCACACAGAAAATGGTAAGTGCCTCTATTTTAGTGGTACCCGTGTACTTGGCCCTAGACTTCATCTCTTCAGCTGCTCTCTTGCCCTGGTTAAGTTATCTGGGATAGTTTCTCACTTTCAGCACCACTCCCAGCCTACTGACCCAAACTTGGAATTTAATTTTTTACTTTTTATTACAAACTCGGCCAAATGTAAAAAAATCCAATCATAATGTGATAAAAACTACATAAACATCTCTATCCCTTCCTATGATAATACTTTAACGTTCTCATTTACAGATGTATATCAAGAAGTTGAATTCTCTATGTTTCTGTAAGCAACTACATCCAAAGTTTTGGGGATGGGGACATCAAGTAATAAGTATTTCAGAAATATAACACAGTTTATCTTAATTTGTTTAGAAACTACAGAATTTATAATCCATGAGAGGCCCCATTTTCTGCATTTTCGGATAACTGGCTACATTATGCTAACTGAATCTACCTGTCATTATCTTATTCCTCTAGCCATCTTTTATCCATAAATAAAATTCACAGTTTCATCAATCAAGATTTCACCCATCCATAATTTTCATTTGTTTATTCACATCTCAATGAGTTACTTAGTTACTGTCTTAGTTACTTCTCCCTCATTTCTGAGACAAAATAGTGAACATCCAAAGTTAAAGAGGAAAGCTTATTTAAGTGGCAGCTTTTAGAGAATTCAGTCTGCAATTGGCTGACTCCAAAGCATAAAATATAGGCATAGCAGAGGAGACACAGTTCATAGTGAGCAGAAAGTAGCAGAACAAACAAGAGACAAGACAAGCCTCTTTCTATCTCTTATATTATATCCAGGCCACTGGGATTAGGGCAGTGCCAAACCAATCAGTGGCCTGATTTAGTAATCATCACCCTTAACCCTAGCACCCTTAATCCTAGCATTGCACCATGAATCAATCACACACTCTAGATTCAGTCACTTCTGAAAATGCCTCACCCATGACTGCATGACACTTTAGGAAACATCTAGGTGCAAGTCATAACATCAACCAACACATTTCTACCCTTTTCCCCTCAATATTCCAAAAGCAATGTTGCATCTGTCATCTATCTACTAGTTTTCATTAGGTCATCCATGGATCCATCCAACTTATTTTCATTGAGCAATCCATCCATCCATCTCTCCATGCTAAATGTAGGGAAGGGTGCTGTCAGGGGAGGTGAGCTATGTAGCCTACTGATCTGAACTGGGAATTTCATTTTTCTTTTTGTATTATTAAATAACAACTTGTAAATTGACCTTATCTCTCTTCACAAAGAAGTAGGATTCTGGGTTCCCTGGCCTGACCCATCCTTCCTGGTCCCCGAGCTTCTCCCCTACCCCCTGCCCCACTATCCTTCTCTGCTACCCCAAGCTCATGAACAGCAGAATCTGTATAGTGTCATTTTTGTCTGGGCCCAACCAAAGTTGAAACAGGAGTGAAAATGTGATACCTCTGGGCACAGATGCAAGAATGAGCTTTAATCTCAGGAAGCCTTCTCATCACAACTTTTGCCTCTGTCTTCACAGAGATTTTTGAAGGTGGATTTATTTGGAGACCCTAGTGAGGTAAGCAGTTCTGATTTCTTGTTTACTCCTTTGAGCTCCAATTCACAATGAAAAGAATCTCTCTTGTGGAATTATAGCTCGTCCTTATGGACATATTGATGAAGTCCAGAGAGGGTCACGACTCGCCAAGGTAATACAGCCAGAAGGTCAGATACAGGACTGAAGTGAACTCCTCTGAGTCCCAGTCCTGTGCTCCCAGTCAGCAAATTTGTCTACTGTGGTCTCCTCTACCATTTTCTCATTCACATTTCTAGCTTTGCAATGTTCCTGTGGAAGTGGCTTGACCAGAATATTCGATTATTAGGAGGTGCAGGAAACTAGAGAAGGGACAGAGGATCTTTGATTAAGGGCATGCCTCCTGAGACTGGATAGGGCTAATTATCTGTGCAAGGGAGGAGCCTATGATGACAATGCTCCTCCTAGCAGCCAGGAAACCCACCTTCTACTACCTGTAGAGGTGAAAGATAATGGGCACAGAGTTGGGTTGTGGTATGAATGTAAATAGCAGTGTCAAGGACAGACTGAAAAGGCATATCCATCAGCTTTCCTTTCACTGGGATGTAATAGCTGGCATCCACAGCATAAAGGAAGAGATGCTTATTTTTTTCTTGCAGTAACAGTGGGTTCAGTCTGTGATAGACTGGCTCCAAGACAGAAATGCCAAGGTGGAAGGGCCTGGTAGAGGAGAACTCTTCATTACACTGCAGCTGGGAAGCAGAAAGAAAAAAGTGGATCCTGGATATGAACACACCCTTCTAAGTTATCAGTGACCACCCTTTCCAACTTGAACATGAGACTTTTGGGGGATGTTTTATATCATGTCGATATATGGGAATCCAGCGATGGAGTGGGGAAGGTGCCAGCTCTTGGGAAACCTGGAGATAGAGTTCTAGACATAAAGAGAAGGTTATTGAAGAATGCTTCAGTGGGCCTTCAATCGCTCATGAGACAATATGACACAAGCTGGCAAGAACAGAAGACAGAAATAAGACTAGAAAGAAAGCTGGGTCTTGGGCTGATCTAAGCTGCTTTGGGCAGCAAGGACAAAATGCACCTAGAACACTCAGTGTTTATTCATTACAAGCTTGGGAAGGAGGGGGGCAGGACACCTGATGATAGAGTGTTGCAGGCAGGGCTATAAAAGGTGAGACACTCGCATATCTTATTGAAAGGAACAAATGGTTAATTCAGAGGGAAAGAATTTAGTTGGAGTCAAGTTGACCTTGGATGGAAATTGACTCAGCAGGGCCCTGCCCCTTCACATACTAGAACTTAAGTCTTGGTGACAGCCATGTGGCAAAGGAGCTATGCTTGCCCAACTCTGCTACCTGACATGTCCATTTGAGCTATTTAAAGGCCACGGTCAGACCTCAAATGAAAAACAGCCAATTGTGTGGAAGAAAAAGCCCTTGCCACTTATAGCCTGCTATTACAGGGTAGGGAGGTCAGCTACATATGCAGAAATAACAGCAGCTGCAAAATGGCCTTGATGCACAAAGCCAGTGTGTTTGTGGGGGAAGCAATGAGAGAGGGGAAAGGCTGTAGGCTCTGCAGGTCATGGAAGTTGAGATGGGGAGGACACAGAGAGGATTGATTTGTGACTCAACATGAGATGGATGGTGCTCAGAGGCCTCTGAGCAGAGCAGTGATGTATCTTAGGTTTTACAACAGACTCTGACTGCAGATCACACTAGAGAGCAGGGAAGCATCGGGGCAGGTGCAGAGAGACCATGGGGTGGGAGTGGGCCAATGCACTGCTGCAGCCCAATCCAGCAATCCCGGAGGATTATACCAGGGCTAGAGCAGTGAGGTGGAGACATGTGAGTGGAGTCTGGATGTATCAGAAGGAAGAACTGACAGGACTTGCTGATGAACAGGGTGTGAAGTGTGAGTGATGTCCCTAAATTTTCTAACTGGATCAAGACCATGCAGGTGGCCTCATAGGAAAGCCACTAATGTCCACTGAGTAGTCAGTGGCCATTATTGTTGTGCTCATGATTTCTGATTGCAGTGTTCTCCCCTGCGTGATTTCTCACCGAGACCTTCATTGCTTGACTTCTGCATTTTGACTATTTATTGCCTCTTCTTTTTCTCCACACCTCTATGATAAATGTTACCAGACTTACCCTTATAAGGCTAAGGTAGAACATATCATATATTTTCTTAAAAGGCTGATCTTGCTTCTAGACAAATTGCCTTTCCTCCTGTCAGTTAGACTTCAAAACTTATGCATGATATTATGCATGTGCCAGATATTCTGCAGAAGATATTTTCTCCCGCCTGACACTATTACTTGTCCCTGTCCTGAGGCATTTCTCCAAACTCAGTGCTCCTTAACATTCCTGGGTTTAGCTCTGCAAAAGGACTCCTTTGCTCCCTTGTCTTTTGATTTTTTTCCACTTGCCTATAGACTTTAGCCTCAAATCCCACTATGCATGACAAACACCTCCTTCCATGGGCCTGGTAAGTAAATTCTTTCAGATGAGCTACTCCTCTTGCTGGTTCCCAGATGAGCCCTTTCTGAAGTACACAAGCTTCAGTAGTTGCACCCAGAGCCAGTTCCGTATTGTCAGACTATTACAGTAGGATTCTGTCCATGTCTTGATCTTTTCTTCCTTGCAAATAGGGAATCAAGTCCCATTTAGGCATCTTGAATGATATACTTAATAACTTCAGGTTTATTGATAAATAGATATGTACAGCTGACTCTCAGCAATCTGGGGTTCTGTAACAGTGAATTCATTTCCTTGCTAAAATGTATTCATGACCCCAAATCAATACTTGCGAGACTTATGTGATCTTTTATGAGTATGGCCAGAGTGCTGAGCAACTTGAATAGCATCATGCCCATGTACCAATGTGAGATCAAAGGAGAAAATATGCTTTATTGTTCCATCTCTCATATCAAGAATGGTTTTTTTTGGTCTTCTGTGAAGTGCACCATTTTTGTGATATTACTTTTATTAGTGACATTGTGATATTGCTTTTTATTGGTTTAAAACAGCTCTCAAACATAGTGTGGAAGTGCTGTCTACTTTTCCTAAGCACAGAGGACTGATTGCCTCACAGAGGAAATACACAAGATATATATGCTTCATTGACCCTTGACATATGAGCCTCTTCCCTCTCATTTCAATGTTAATGAATCAAAAATACTGTAAGTCCAAAATAAGAAGAAATTTCCTTATCTCTCTACATTTGTGGATTCATGAGATGATGAGATTGTAAAAAGCGTAGTAGATAGCATTGTTGTGAGCAGGAGCCAAAGAAATTTACAGTGACATTATCCAGAGCCCTGAAAATCTTCAGCCCTTCCCAGGTGAGGTATTATTATAAATAAATTATATATGTAATTAATTCTCTGTAAGAAGTTTGTGTTATGCAATGTCTTTAGATAAGAGCCTACCTATAAAACATGAGCAATGATAATGTGATAGAGGATGCCAGGAACCTGACTCTGGAATCTCCCTTGGAACAATTACCCAGCATTCACTAGTTCAGCATCCACTGTGATTTTACAGCATAACTATTATAAAGCACTAGAATCAACTTTATGTATATCATAATAATAGATACTTTAATTTGGGTGATGATTCCCCTTCTCCTCTCCCACCAGCATCACCTCATCACCACTAGCTTCCTAAACTTCTGCCCTTATTGTCTTACAGAAACAGCACTGTTATTAGGAACCTGAGTTTCTATGGCCAGTGGGCAACACCACGGGAGATTATGATGATGGCCAGTGGCTCACACAGGCAGAGAGAGGTTCATGCATGTTTCCTGAGACAGAGTAATCACAGACATTATACTGTTCTCCCCAGAACTATTTTCTCCTGCCCACTGTTATTGATGGAGTGCTGCTGCCCAAGGCGCCTGAAGAAATTCTGGCTGAAAAGAACTTCAACACTGTCCCCTACATGGTAGGATTCAACAAACAAGAGTTTGGCTGGATCATTCCAATGGTGAGTATGTACAGGCCTCTTAGACAGATGCATACCCTCCACACATTCAACCATCACCTGGGTGCTACAGCCTTTAGAAACTTCCTACAAATTTTGACTGGCTTTCCATTAAATAATCCTGAAATGTCCTGGTTAAAGGGTTCTGCAGAGATAACAATTGAGCCGCTGGACATTCTAAGGAATCCTAGAAAGGTGACAGATTTGGGGAGTCCAGGAGATTTTGTCTGGGGTGCAGCAGCTTTCACCTTGAGCCTGCATTCATGGCTCCCATAGATCTCCACCTGGGTTCTCAAGTACTCACTGCAAAGATTCAGAGAAAGTCACTCTGTTTAAGATATTTTTCTCTATGAAAATGGAAGAAAGGCTAAACAAAGCTATAGACTGGATAAAACATTGCCACAGGTTTTATTCTGTAATTTGATTGCAATAGAGAAAAGACCAAGCACGAAATGAATTCAAATCCCTAACTCCAAAGCTGGAGATGTTGAAGGCTAAGTGTGCTCAGGAAGGCACGGTGGGTGTGAGGGGAGCAACCACGTGGCCAGATCACTGGATTGTTCACTCATGCTCATCAGCAGGAGAAACAGGATTTTCTTCATGACAGGAGGCAGAGGTGTAACTTGAAGTGAGGCCCCTACAGAAGTTAGACCTTCATCCTCCCATTGGGACTGACAGAGAGATCAAGAGTTATCTCCCCAGGTGCTACTATACTTCAGAAAAGATTCAAACATTTCCAAAAATTTAGTTCTCAGATCTTTTAGGAAACTGTTTTGGGAGAAAGATTTACACTGCAAAAGAAAGAGAAGAAGGGATAATGTCAATCTTTCTGAGGTAACTGCTCTAAGGAAAAGTTCAAAAATCTGCATAGGACCAGCTTCTGGCAGTATTGCACTTTCTGAAGAAGGCACTTTAGCAGTCTGGGGTCATGACCTTAAGCTGCAGGAAGCTAGGAAGGACTTGGATT